CTGCAGAGGTTGACTCAGCTCTGTATTGTCTCTCTCAAGCTGGACCCCGATTCCGTCCAAAGAGGACACAACCAACATGGACAGGCCGTCCGTCTCCCTCTGTCCTTCCCTTTCTCTTTGTTTCATGCCAATACCCTATATCGTTTATATGGCTGCTCTCAAAGGCGGTCTCCGTAGCGACGGTGTGACCCCTGCTGCTGACGACCAGGCCCTCAGTACAGGCCTGATTGATGGCGGGGGGCGGCCATAAAGACTCTCTGCTGTAGCCAGATAAGGCCAGACAAACATGGCCCCCGAATTCTGACCAGTGAGGAATGTTTGTTCACAAGGGAGCATTCATTTTGTGCCTTCAGGTTAACAGACATGTATCATCTAAGCCGTTAATATGTTTTATATCTGAGTGTCAACAATCTACTCTATGTGATGATGTTAGTTGAGAATTAAAAATGTGTTTTCCTCTCTACTGCTGTTCCTTTTTTATCATGTTACTGCTGTGTGAGATCAGGATGCAGTATATTTCCCATGAAACAGCTTTACATGCTGGAGGACTCGTTTTAGCAACAAAGCAGCTGGGTAAGGCAGAGCAAATCAAAAGGAGTTTCAGAGAGTTTCTGTCCCTTCCTCTCATGCTGCTGGGCATGTTCTTCTGGGAAAAGCCTTCATCCTCGCTCCGCATGTAGGTCACTGGCCTTTTGTGTGCGACGATGTGAGCCCACCGAGTGTTTGACGTTTCCATACCGCTCTTACAATCCCCAGGTTGTCATGGAAACACACTGGGTGGCAGTTGCAGCGAAGTTACAGTGGAGGAAAGAGCGATCTAAGGGAGGAGGTCAATTAGCCCGGCCTCTTTTGTGGGCTTCTGCTCACTGTGGCCAAGTGTGTTGATGAAAAGAGCTCTGACCAAAGGCGTTGGTTGAGAGGCAAAAAGCAGGACAGATTGCTCAAATAACGGAGAAAAACCCCCAGAGCTATTCATCACGGAGGATCCTCATTATGAACTGCAACTCTTTATTGTGGTGAAAACACACGGGTTAAAAATGTTACACTTATGCGGCTGTACTGACTGTTTTCAACTGAACCCAAAACACCTGAATGCTATCCTCAATGCTCAGGCAGTTGCTCATCAACTGAGCTGAAGTGTGCAGACTGTGATGTTGACCCAGAGCCAGTAAAGAGCTCTCAACAACTGTTTGCACACTGAGCTGAGAAACACACACACACACACACACACACACACACACACACACACACACACACACACACACACTTTGCTCCAGCCTCCACCCATGCTGATGTTATGTCTCTACATGTAATAGGAGATTAGTATTAATACATATATGCATGTTTGTGGACCCAGGACACATCCGGAAGATTTTGCCGTTTCACTTTCTAAACGGAAATTGTTTCAAAGTTTGGGCCGTTTGACCGTGTTGTGTGAGCATGTTGCTCTGGGATACACAGTGAAATGTCTTAGCATCTTTCTCTGCATTTCTGTTAACTACCACTGTTTTTATGACTCTCTGGATTGTAGTTGACCCATTCCTGCACCTCCCTGTTTTCACCAGCTGTCAGGTTTACAAGGTCTTTGCTAAACCACAGTCAGTCTTGGGGTTAAAGCAGTGTTTCTCAAAGTGGGGGGCGCGCCCCCCCCTGGGGGGTGCAGAGGTATGACATGACGAGAGACCAGGAGAAAAAAGAAAAATTATAATTTGAAAGATTATTGATTCGAATATAATATGATACAGCACAGTACACGTACGTCTGGGTCTCTGTTTCATTCAAGCTCGGCTCTGTGTGTGTGTGGAATGAGCCATTTTGTGTGCGAGCGAGAGAGAGCGAGAGAGAGGGAAAGAGAGAGAGAGAGAGAGAGAGAGAGAGACGAGATATAAGATAATCTCTTAGCTATCCTCGTACTACTCTCAGCTCTCGTCTACTCTCTCTCTCTCTCTCTCTCTGGCTCTCGTCTCTCTGCAGGCTTCTCGTCGCTCGAAATATAACGTTTTGGTCACGATTAATGTAAACAATTATTTCCGAGGCACACCTTCATATGATCATTATAGTTGTAAAAAAATAAGAGAATAAATGAAAAACAGGTTTGAAATACTATGACAGTAAAAAAAGAATAAGTTTAAAAGGGGAAGTGATTTGTAAAATATCCATAAAGAAAAGTAATCTGTTTACAGTTCTGTTTTTCATATGGGTGTTGAGAGATGTTTCCATAGATCTCTCCATGTTGCTCTCAAAGTGCACCAGATTGATGCTTTTAACTTCAATATTTATTTTTGTTTTCAAAATAATTTGGGAGTAAAGAAGTAAAGCTCCGCAGATTGTAGCTGTTTATCGATATTAAAAGTTCCGAATGAAGGCCAGAGGCCTGTACTATGAATCAGTCACTTATGCTCAACTCATATTAAAGATTCGCCTGCTGACCAATCAACTCATCGTAAATGAATACACCACAAAGAACATTAAGGCAATAACTTTAAAATGCAGGACAGCTGGCAATAATTTGTAAATGAATAGAATGTCACCGACCATCTAGGGAACAATCTGATTATAAACACATTTGCAGAAAGCAGGCTCACTTTAATATCTTAATACCGGAGCGAAATAACTCAGAGCAGTGCATACAGACTGCAGCACGACTCTGACGTGTTGCCCTGTTCATTCGTATCATCTCATTTGATCCCTTATCTGTCTCAACTTCTTGAGCCGTATGTTGCCACGCTGGTGGTGAAAGTGCTGAAAGTGCTGAAAGCAAATTCGTTCATGTTTGTGATTGGTCAAATGCTGCAAACCCCGCCCCTTTTCATGTGAACACGCTCGTAGCCAGACTGAAGACCCTGGGTTGACTTACTGAGTTGATAACCAGTTTATATCATTGCATCATCTGCATATAGATGAACAAAGCAGTTAGAACAAACAATAGGGAGGTCATTAAGATGAATAGCAAAAATAATTGGTCTTAAGTAGATCTTTGGGGCACACCTCTTTGTTGGAGCTCGTCAGTCTTTGTTATGATACTGTCTGTCTGACATATGAAACTCAGGTTTGACAGACAAAGCCAAAGAAAAGGCTTCTCCACAAATCTATAGTCACGTCACAAGCGCTTTTCATAAACACTCTGGCAACACCTTTTTATTGAGGCTGCCCCCTGCAATGGCATATGCATAACCTACATTGTATTGGGGCAGAAGGCAATTTCAGAATTTCTCAAGACATTGAAAAGATAAAACCAATATTATCACATTGCTACTTAGAAGAAAAGAAAACATTTTGTAGTTTGTCTGATTGGACCGCTGAAGGCACATATTTAGGTGAAGAGGGCAAATAGACTTAATGTAGTTTGAGTAACACACAGCTAAGAAACTTTAAACCTTTTTTTTTTACTTAAACTCTTAAGAACATTAATCCCTGATTGTACTTTCAGAAGCCTTTTGGGATCTGTTGTTACCTTCCCATTGCTCTTCAGTGCAAACACTGGAATGCTGGTGTTTTCACAGCAACGTCTGAGCCCTGGTGTGATGGAAGGAGAAGGTTGTTGTTCAGTTAGCTGAACAGGCGACCGCAGAGGAGGGCACGAGGGAGAGCGATGTCCAGGAGCCTGTGTGGAGGAGCCTTTGTTTCCTACAGTATGGGCACTTGTCCAGTTTTCACACTAAGAGTGGATACCTGGTTGGAATACCAATGGCTGGCTTTGTCGCGATCAGTCTTTGTCTGGATCATTGGATTCTGGGCTTTACTCCAGCAGTCTTACTCTGAAGTCACTCTGTTTGTGAGTCTGACTGTCTAGACAGGTGTTTGTAAAGCAACACCAGGCAAGATATGCATGTTAAAGGCTTACATTTGGTAGAATAATGTTGTTAATGCTGAGTGGCGAACATTAAATTAAAATAGTGAAAATGAAAAAGTAACCGTCCACAATAACTACAAAATACAGGACATCATTTCCAGTAAGCACATCATACTCAGAAATACTCAAATTACCTTGTCACACCCTTAGGCATTGTGTAAATTGGGAATATCAGCGTGGTGGTTCTCCAACAGTTTGCCAGATTGAACCACTAGCACCAGCTCGGCTGCCCTATTGGGTTGTTGTGGACCATCCCTCATTGTTAACAACCCTCAATGTGTTCCATTTGTAAGTGTACTCCAGAAAAAACTGAAAATGTTGTCAGGCAAGAACATGTCAGACCACTCGTTTTTCCTGCTGTAGTGATTTTGCCATGTTTCTGATTAATTGAGTGAGTGCAATACTTTAATAGCTGTTAGAAATGATTACCAAACCTATGGAAAATAAAATGTATAATAAACTTCAGTCAAACTATAACAAATAAAATCAGCACTTATTAAAACAAATTCAGCAATAAGTCATACTGTGTCTAAATGAAGGAGTTATGAAATGTTTTGTGATTTTCTTGACGTACAGATGTCCTCATTGTACCGTAGTCAGCCATGGTAATGCTACATTTTGGCCCCTAAGCTTCCGTGTCCAAATTTAGATTTGGGATCCAATGTTTAAATATGTGACCTGTTGCATAATTTAGTCATCATTCTGTTAATTTGCCCATGAAAAGCATGTGGCAGGTGTATTGTGACTGTATGTGTTTGATGTCCACATCCATACAAAAGCTTTCCAAACAAAACCACCTGCTGAAAGCCATCGGAACAGACAAACTTAACGGTTAACTGTACACTGAATACATGAGTAGAACTATTCTTTTATTGACTATGAAGTACACCAACAAAACAGATGTTCTAATTAACTTAAGAGAGTCCTATAGAAGGCATAACGAAGGAGAATGTGGTAAAAATGTCTGCCGCCCTGCTGCCCTTGATGAACTCTCTGTGCCAAATGCTTGACACTGCTTGCGTAAGTAGGGTTCTTTTAAAAAATTACGGCATTTGCATGACAAAGGCAGATGGCTTCAGGGTACTAAAGAGGGAGGGAGGGGTTGGGGGTCTGAAGGAAGGCAGGAGACAGACTGAGACTTGGACAGACGCACTGGGATCGCTGGCACTCTCCCAGTCAGGAGACCAGAACTGTGCTGGATATGCTGGATATTGAACCCAAGGCGGTGGATGAGGAGTCAGGACCAGAATTGGGTTTGAACATGGAGTCTGTTCACAGATTACTCAAAGAGACTCTCTGCTGCTTCAGAGGAAAATGGGGAGAGTGCAATGTTTCAGGAAAATAACTTGTTTTTTCGTACATCTGGATCGAGTGGAAATATATTTTTTAAATAAGTTCAGCGGTTTATTTTAGCTGGAGACTACACTGGCTTAGAGATGACTGGAGCTCTGCACACTGGACTCATGCTTTTCTCTTTTGTGGTAATTACAATGTTATACTATGTTCACCAGAGACTTGCAAATAGTACATTTTTAACGTGTTATTAACATTTCATTGTTTAAAAAAAAAAGCTACTCAGTACATCAACTGAATATGTTACTGGAATATGTTAATACAGCATTGATAACTGTATTTAGCCAAGTTAAAATACTATAGTTAACTAAACATGTTCTCCTGCAGGTGGTATGTGAGAGTGAGCCGACACATGCTGGGCCAGACAGAGCTGGGGATTTACACGGTGAGACTGTTAATCACTTTTAGGGGCTATTTAGTGGGCAGCAGTTTTATTTTGTGCTATTGACTTCTCTTTTTCCTTCATCAAAAAATCAACACTTATTTGACTGAAACATCACTATTTCTAATTCATGCTTGTCGTGATTGTTTTTTTTTTGTGACCTTCCAGAACAATCCAAACTGCTCCTCCTAACTTCTAACTGGGCTTTCCACCTGGTCAATGAATCACTGGACTTCTCGGGGGCAGACAGATTCTGCAGGGGCCAGTTCAGCTCCCTTGTGCCTGTGGAGCAGTCAGAGGACAGAGGGGGGGTCTTGGAGCTGCTTCAGCAGGCCGCACATCGCTCGCCTGTCTGGGTCAGAGATCCTGCCAAGGCAGCCTCCAAGCCTCTGGCCCTCTCCAAACAGTGTGAGTGTAATCATTGGCGCTACAAATCAAATAAAGTCAAATAAAATACAAAAACAATTTGATCAATTACCTTTCCCGGCTTTTCTTTAGATTTACAGTTCCCAGCTCTAAACTTCCCAAGAGATTCTCGTGAGGGCTTTGCTCGTGTCAACATGTCCTTTCCCGCCCTGTCCTCCATCAGTGTGTGTGTTCGAGTTCAGTGGAACCCAGAGTGGAATGAGGTGTCCACTATCTTCTCCTATGCTGCACCTGTGTTCACCAATGAGTTCCAGCTGAGAGGCCAAGTGGACATGCAGGGACGCATCCTTCTGGCTCTCATCATCCACGGGAAGCACCTGCCATATAAGGCATCCTTCCCCAACGACGGAAATTGGCATCACATCTGTGTCACATGGCGCCTTAGCAACGGCCACTGGGCTATCTATGTAGATGGGGACAAGAAGGACATGGGCTCAGGCTCAGACACCTCCAGGAACATCTATGGTGATGGAATACTTATTCTGGGTCAGGATCAAGATTCATTTGGTGGGAATTTCACAGAGCCTTTTTTTGGAAATATCACTGACCTGAATGTTTGGAATATGTCTCTGGAAACAAGGCATGTCCGTGCCCTCAGCGCATGTTCCTCCAAAACCCAGGAACTGCTTTTTAGTTGGAATCTTGAGCACGTAAGCAGCCACCCAGTGGTGAGCGAGGTACAGGCCCTTCTGTTTTGCCCAGGTGAGATCACATTCTGTATGCTCAGTTTCATTTCAGAGGCTGTCTCTTTTAAATTAGAATGTCATCATGCACACTAAGAATTGCTGGGATATTTCATATAACCTACCTCCACAGTGGTTTGATCATGCTGGTTGGTGCCTTTTACATTATTGCGTTATTTACACGATCATGGGTAGTTTTAGTGCAGCCCATCCGCTGGGTTAGTGGCTGGGTGATACTAAAACAATGCAGATAAAAACTCATCCTCTCTTCCTCCACAACCATGTGCTAGCCACCTAGCGGCTAGGTCACTTCAACCATGTGGCTTGGTTATCTGCTTTGTTTTGTCAACCAGTGGTCCTTTCAATCAATCTCCTACAGCAGTCCTTCAAGATATTAAAGGAAGGAGCTTTTTTTTTTTACCAATCATTCCAGTAGAGACCGCAGAAATACCAGCCTAAAAGTTACTGAGTGAAACTATTTAGGAACAGGCTATCTTGCTAGCAGTCAACACTTTGTGTTTATACTGCAAGTTATGAGTTGCTCATCTTTGGGTTTGGGATTGGCCTACATCCTGACGTTTTTATGCTCAGTCTAACACTTTTAACAGATAATTCTGTAAGGAAACATGAAAATAAAAACACCTATGTATGAGGTAAAATCATCCTTTTATTCTAATCGATTGTGGGGATGTGTTTAATGTAGCACATGCTTAAGGTTGAGCCATGTTCAACTTTGTTGCCGGTCGACACTGTGTTGTTTGTCGACAAAACATTGCTTTTAAAGCCAGGCTGTGTCATTCTGAAGAATGAGGAAACCTATTCTAGCACTTATGTTGGTCTGAATGTTGCCTCATTTGGAAACGAGGCACTGGGTTAACCTTACTCAGTGGTGTAATGTAACTAAGTACATTTACTCAAGTACTTTACTTAAGTATAATTATAAGGTACTTGTACTTTGCTTGAGTATTTCCATTTCATGCTACTTTGCTACTTTGTTCTACCATACTACAGTTCAGAGGTAAATAGTGTACATGTATTTAATACCTTTAGTTACTTTACAGATGTGGATGAATGATGTGAAATATAATCAAGTGTTAAATCAGACTTTAGTTCCACCTGGAGTAAATCCACAAGCTACCCTGCAGTATACAAAGTCATTCAAACTAGCTGCACCTTTACCAGCTTTGAGAACACTTTCATGATCAATAACTCTCCAACACATTGTACGTGAAAAGGCTAAGGGGCGGGACATCTCTAAGTGGTTGACCAATCACAACAGAGCCGGCCAGCTAACCAATCAGAGCAGACTGGGCTCTGGTTTCAGACAGAGGGTGAAAAGAGGTGCTGCAGCACAGGCAGAGTGAGAAAAATAAAGAGCTTTTTGAACATTAAAGCATGGAGACATGTCACAGTAGAGACACTACATACTGATATACACCTGAACATGAACATAATATGTCCTCTCTAATATCAAAATGTGTGTATTATGTTCTTGCTTTAATTATATGTAGTTATGTATTCTTGCAGCAGTATATGTTCATAGCATTTCTTTTTTATATATAAAGGTAATTTTGGGCCAGAGGGCCTTTATTGGAGTTCTGTTGAAAAGGAGACGGATGGAAGGACATTCCATGAGTTATTCAGCTGGCTCAAGGTTCGATCCGGCTTACCAGCAGCAGTGACCATATATGGGATGTGAACTCTAACCACTGAGCTATCCGGCGGCCTTCATAGCATTTCTTATCTAGTTCTTATTATTTGCCTGTCTCTTACTTTTCAAGTCATTCTTGATAGATTCCTCCCTAAAGAGGCCTGGGCTAGAGAGTGTTAGAATGAGCCGCAGGATGAAGGGCAGTGAGGTGAGTCAGAGGGGCAGAGAGGCGCTGAATGGGGGGGACTCCCACAGCTCCAGCAGTGAGGGGCAGTGCAGGGAAAGAGTTCCGTGCAGGAGTGAACAATAACCCCCCCACTGTCACAGTTTATATTACTCTCTTAAGATCCATGCAGTCAGGGTTTTTTTTTGTACGATTACAACTCAAGCTTAAAGTTGTTTTTAAAGTTAATTTCAAATCACAATGTTTATTCAAATCTAATTTGTATCTCATTATCTCATTTGATCTCATTGTTGATACTTTTCACCATTGATGACATTAACATATAATAGAGCTGACTCTTGTGTTCTTGTGCGTACACTTTCCTTGTTGTTCAGAGTTTGATTCTTTATGGTTTTTGCACTTATTGTAAGTTGCTTTGGATAAAAGTGTCGGATAAATGATATGTAATGTAATGTAATGTAATGTAATGTGTGTCACCGTGCTAGCAGCAGTCCACCAGCAGATGGAGCTGCAGGGCTGCAGGACCCTGCAGGGCGGCTCAGATCAGCCCCCCCTCCTCGGCCTGACAGACTGCTCTGATCCACTGCCATTCATCTGCCGGAGCAGCAGAGGTGAGCGGAGACACACCAGAACATATCAGGATTTGACTTCTAATTTATTTTATTAATGTTAGTAATGGTGAATATTGACTTAAAGGTAATCACTATATGTGGAGCCTGTATTAGGTGATTGATTTGACAAACCCTGCAGCCATGTACTTTACTTACCTCAGCATCTCCATACGTTATTACAGCAGTAAATACATTTGTTTCCTGCAAACCTTAAAGACAAGGCATGCAAACAGTATGGACTGTACCCATGCAGAACAGTTGACTCGTTGCGTATCAGAAATACTGACACCACCACTACCCAAAATGCAACCTTATTCCCACAGGGAGTGTTGACCAAACTCAAAAACATTTAATTTGTTCAGTTGTTTAATATTTTATGTATTCCAGTCCGTGTTTCTAAAGAAAAACAATGAAAAAAATAATACAATGAATCTTCTGAAAGACTTCTTTGCTATCTTAACTGTAACTCTCACACTCAACTGTAAAATGTATTATGCTCTAAAGTCTCCTTAACACGTTCTCCCCCTCACTTTTTAAATGAAGTCTCTTAAATCTTCGTCCTCTAGACACCCCTTCAGTTATTGCTCAGCACTTAAAGAAACAGGCGTAGTCAGCTGACTTGACGCCTTGAGGTGACATGTTTGCTTTTTTATAATCCTTCTGTAACACAATGGCAGACGTTTTCAAATCTATCCTTATACCAACAGCAATTGTAGATATCAAAATAGCTTTTTGAGTAGTTAGAATTCCAAGAAGTCAACATATTCATATTTTCCAAATAGTAGCGATTCTAGTTAACATCTAGTTAATATCTAACAATTATTTCATACTTGTAAACATGTTCATTCTTGATATGACCAAAAGATTTTCTGCCAGTTGAAATGTTTATTTTGTATATCTGATGGAAGATTTAATGACAACTATGTAATGCTCAAGTACAGTAATTCCATTTGAAAGATGTTGTAGTTCCAAATCATGTCCATAATATATTATGACTTGTAGAAAGAACAATGATATAAAAAATGCAATTCTCACTAGTGGAAACAATTCCACTGTTATTATTTGCAGTTTTCATTGTAGAATTCATCCCTCATTACAGATATCATAAAGAAATGTTAAATGTAACTGATATGTCAGCTTGAATTTGTCACCAGTTATAATTTAAAAACAGTTATCTAGAATACGATTGTAACTAGCAAACATATGAAGCACTTATATCTCAAGAAATTTACAATTCCTTTTATTAGTCAAAATTGAATTTATATATCAAAAAAGGAGATTTATTATCTTGTCAAAATTGTACAAATCATCTATGACTTACATATTTGAAATGAATGGGTCATTTGGGCTACATATTGGAAATGCTATTATTGATATCTGAAACCTATCCATTACATTTCGACTGAACCTTTTTTCTTACTAAGAAGGAATTTCTGATATCTTTTATGACATTTCAGATATTTCTAAAGCAGTTTCGACTACTTTGACTTTTGACCACATGTACAAATGCAATAGTAACATGTCAAAAAAGTTTTTAAGTGTTTACCTAACTCAATGGCTAGCATTCAGCCCTTGTAATTAAATGTTAAAAAGTCTGCCCATAACAGCCCATGCACAGGAACACTTGAAGGGAAATAAAGTCAACTCTGAAAATGTTGGATGTACTGTAAGATGATGTTTGCGTACGTGATGTGAAGCAATTAATACATATCCACTAGATTGACTGATGAGATAATAGTACTGTACACATGAAGAGGCGGGGTCAGAGACATGCTCAGTTGGGAGTTTTATGTTTTTTCAGGATGTTCAGAGACTCAGGGTGGAACTCTTCCAGCTGAAGAGTTCTCTGAGCAGCCGAGCATCCTGCCATCATTTCATCCTAACGTTTCGTTGTGTTGGGCACAGAGCGCTTCCTGAAGATGAAGCAGATCAGTGACTCTCAGACCTCGCAGCCCACAGCCTTCATGAACCAGCTGATGAAGCTGTCCAACCACAGCCAGGTACACAACGCTACATCTTCATCCACAAAAACTCTCCTCCACTTCTTTAAAGATTTCACTGCTTTAAATGTTCCATCTTCCAAGGATCTTTGCTGTCAAACCATTATTTATCTGTTAACCTCACCTAACAAAGAGCCATAGATTGTTTTGGCACACATCATTCTGCTTTATTTAAAAGTTTAAGTTAATCTGACAGAGTTGAATGGGTTTTTAGCATTTTATAAGTTTATGCTGATACCAAAATGTTGATTAGAAGCTACATTTTGGCTTCTATTTAAAAACAATAGGGGGTTTGTTTTGCTTTATGACTAAAAATGACAATGCTTTTGTGATAAAAATACTGATAAATGATTAACTTTAACAATGTGTAATAATGTAAAACAGACTGTTGATTGCATATAACACTTAAAGGTGGGGTATGTCATTTATTTCAGAAACAATTTTTGTTATATTCCATGGAATGCTCTTAACATCCCGATAGCAATGAATATATTAAATGCTTTGACAAAAAATCCATAAAAAACATGTAATCTGTGGAAGCCGTAGCGCTGTAAAAAGCACGACCAATCATTTTAGTCGGCCCGGCTAAAATAACTGGATGGCCTACCTGCCTGTCAGCCTTCCATCTGTGCACAAACTTTATCTCGTGCCCTCATTGGTCATGTGCGCGTTCGTGTGTGTTGGAGGAGGGGCTCTATAAGGAAGTCTGAAGGAAGAGGCAGATTTTTTCCGGTTGTGTATTTTCAAATTCTAGCGCACTCGAGCTGGTTTCTCCAAAATGACATACCCCACCTTTAATAGCACAAATCCCAAAATGATATGCTGCCCCTCTGATGACTCCTGATTCCCTGTACAACTGTTTAAAGGGCCAGGTTTTATATGATGAAATGTGCCTTAAACCCCAGCTGTCTCGCCAGATAAAACACGACAAACGTCTCATGACAGTCGACAGTTACAAGTTAACGGCTCCCAAACAGAAATGAAAAATGATACAACCAACATGTTATCAAATACACCCAATACTATCCATTAATAAGAGATGGAACACTCTAATGTTCATAATCCAAAATGAAATAAATACACAGGTTTTGGAGTTGATGTATGATGAACACAAAAACAGACATCCTTCTGTCCCCCCCCCCCCCCCCAGGCAGTGCTGGGGCAGCAGCCGTCGGGGCGGGGCAGCCTGTCTCAGGTGTCCGCCCTACTGGAGGTCTCTGTGCAGGCCCTGCAGGACACGCAGCAGGAGGGACTGCAGCCGGCGGACATGGTGTCCCTCATCCAGCTGCTGTCTCTGGCTGCTGACGTCCCCACACAGCCCCCCACCAAGGAGACCTCCATCCAGGAGCTCAGCCAGCACTTCATCAGCGTGGCGGACAGCATCATCAGCGCAGACAACGCCCTCAAGTGGCAGGCCATCAAAGAGGTAGCACATAAACCCTTTAGCCCTGACGCGTGAGTTTACAAATCTGTGCAGTTTGTATATTGTATTCACACCGGAGGGGGGAGAAGTACTCAGATCTAGTACTTAAGTAAAAGTAGAAGTACCAGATTGTAGGAATACTCTGTTACAAGTAAAAGTCCTGCGATCAAAACGTTACTCAAGTAAAAGTACTAGCATCAAAATATACTAAAAGTACCAAAAGTAAGCAGATCGGCCCAAATCAGAATAATATAAATCATATGTTTGTGTTTAGTGTTGATTATATTTCACCACATTAATCAAATTGTGCAAACTAACTAAAGGTATTAAATACATGTAGTAGAGTACAAGATTTACCTCTGAATTGTACTGAAGCAGAAGTAAAAATAAGCAAAAATATTACCTCAAATTGTACTTAATACAGTACTTGAGTAAATGTACGTAGTAACTTTACACCAATTCATTTAACATAACATATCATAGATCAATAAACTAAATCTAATTTTGACGATTTCTCTCTGAAAAATAGGGAATAACAGTACATATTAAATGTGAAATAGTATATTCTACAGGCAATAACAGAATGTAGATAGATAGATAGATAGATAGATAGATAGATAGATAGATAGATAGATAGATAGATAGATAGATAGATAGATAGATAGATAGATAGACAGACAGACAGACAGACAGACAGACAGACAGACAGACAGACAGACAGACAGATAGATAGACAGATAGATAGACAGATAGCTCCCTTCCCCCCCGGCCTCTCAGAGCTCCAAGGCCACCTCAGGCAGCCTCAGTGAATGAGCAGCACTCTGAAACACTGTGGCCGTACACATCCACAAACCTCCGCTCGGCTCCCACCTCTGTCTCCAAGGCTCAGCTCTTGGACGGGCATATTGAATTCAGAAGGAGGGGGTTTCAAAACAGACAATGGCAAATTCCACAATTGCTCCCATCATTATAGGCCAATCCATTGAACTGTGTGTGCCCTCTTCAGCCAAACTGTGTGTAGACGCTGGCATTCCGCAGAAAAAGATGCTGAAAGCATTTTCTCATTGTGTGGCATTTAAGTAGTCATTTTGAAATGTACCTCTTCAGCTTTTACAAGCAGGGCAGAGTGGGTAAGTTCTGCTGAGGTGCAGCTGCTCCGTGTGTTTCAGGTGGTGAACGGACCCATGGATGTGGTCAACACCATTGACCAGATGGTGACCAGCCTGAGTGCCAGCTTAATGGCAGAGACTGATCACATGACCATTCTCAGACCCAACATCAGTGAGTCACCAACACAAACACACACACACACACACACACACACACACACACACACACACACACACACACACACACACACACACACACACACACACACACACACACACACCTACACACCTACACACACACACACACACACACACACACACACACACACACACACACACACACACACACACACACACACACACACACACACACACACACACACCGTACATACTAAAAGATTAAACAAATCTAGCATGGACATTTTGATAGAACGGGATCACCCATTTGGGCTGATTTCGATCCTGGTCTTGGACCCTCATGAAGAGGCTCCAGCTGCACTGAAGCTGCCAGAAGAACCGTTGACCTTAAAAAAGATACTGATTGGTATTGCTAGGGTTAGGGTTAGAGTTAGAGTTAACCAAATGAAAAATATATTGTATATAGAGTACATTGGGATTTGTTTTTGGATATACACTTATTTTCCAGGTGTTGTTCGATATCAGTATCCAAGTTAAGATCTGGGCTTTAAAGCAAAACAGTTGAATACAGCATGGGTTTAACTTTTGTAGATCTGGCCGTATGGTCTATCAGTGATGATAAGTGTGTGTGTGTGCGTGTGTGCGTGCGTGCGTGTGTGCGTGCGTGCGTGCGTGCGTGCGTGCACATTAATGAAATCGGGCATACCACAGCACTTGCATTGTGCAGCTTTGTTCATGATGGAACTTCTAAAACTTCGATTTTTCTCTTTTGGTGTCACATTTTTCTTATCTTGTTATTGTACTTAAAGGTGGGGTAGGTAAGTTTGAGAAACCGGCTCGAGATACACTTTTTGTTATATTCCATGGAATGCTCTTAACATCCCAATAGCAATGAATATCTTAAATGCTTTGACAAAAAATCCATAAAAAAATATAATCTGTGGAAGCCGTAGTACTGTAAAAAGTACGACCAATCATCTGAGCCGGCCCGGCTAAAATAATTGGATGGCCTACCTGCCTGTCAGCCTTCCATCTGTGCACAAATTTATCTCGTGCCCTCATTGGTCATGTGCGCGTTCGTGTGTGTTGGAGGAGGAGCTCTGTGAGGAAGTGGCAGATTTTTTCCGGCTGTGTATTTTCAAATTCTAGCGCACTCGAGCTGGTTTTCTCCAAAATTACCGACCCTACCTTCAAAGACTATTTAGAAAATCTGAAGTAGATTCCTGAGATTGAAGTATTAAGATCTTAAAACCCAAGATAAATATGTTGCCATGGTAACACGTTTCAGCTCAGATTAATAATCTAAATTAGT